TTGCTTTATTTTCTTGGTTTGTTCTTCGATTGTGTATGTTTGTCTGTGGGTTTAAAACGTATAAAATCACAACATGCACATGTTTGTAGTAATATGGGGTTTTGCTAATTAGATTTTGACAAGTGATAAGACGATTGGTATAGCTTTTGGTAAGGTATGATCTTTAACCCTTTATGTTATTTATCCTCATATGCAATAAGATGTTTGTTTTCTATTTGAATTACTTTTAACAATCATAATTTTTTTCATATGCTTATGAATTTTGTGGTTCCTTTGGACCATGTTACTAGATGACAGGTATATAACTTCAATGTCATATGAATTTATTGTTCCAAGTAGAATTGAAGCACCACAAACTTAATAGTTCTTATATGATGTAGATGTTTAAAGTTGAAATGAAGTCCATATTAGATGAGATTGTCTCGGATGGTAATTAGGGGTGAAGAGAGCTGATGACTTTGGGGGAGAGGAAGTTGGTTGTCAATATTGATAAGGAGGTGAAGTTATTTTCTTTCATCCAAAAGTGCAAGTCATACACATTAGGATTCTTGGTTAAGACATCAAACAACAGGGTTAACTCAAAATTCAAGATTTTGGAGGATTTGGTAACAAAGAACACCCATTAATATCTCTTAAAAAGCATCACAGTTGTTATAAATTTTGGTAACAAAGCACTAATGGGAAGCTTCTAGAAGATATAAAAGAATCCCTTTCAGATTATATCTCCTTCAATCACTCGAATGTTGCTAAAAATGGAGGATTTGGTGGGATGATAGCTGATTTGTTAGGAGATTCTAGGGAGAGACTTTCTAATGGAATTCTATCCCTTACGTTTCTCATTAATTAAATGGCAACATTTTGATCAAAATGCACCATATTCTAACCTGATTTTAAATTTATATATTTGGATAATATGAAGATTTGGTGTTTCAGACCTTTACGAGAAACTAAAGGAGCTAGCAAAAGGAAGAGTAGTTACAAAGGAAAACATAACAGAGATCATTGAAGGTTTGGAACTACCTTTAGAGGCCAAGACAAGTCTCTTATAAGTTGAAACCACATATTTGTGTTGGGAAAGCAGTTAAACTACTAAAAATGGATGTATGACCATCAATATGATGAATGGAGCTAATGCCTAGGTCCAATTAAAGCAAAATTAGGATAGAAGAGTTGGAATATCTTAGTTTTGTTTTAAACAAGAATTGGGGTTTTGATTCTTGAGTCCAATTGTAGGTATGTAAAATTAATAGAGAATTCATATTTTTTCTAATTAAATTTTTTTTTTGGGTTACATTTTTTGTGTTACACAGACACAAAATGGAATTCATTTTAGCATAACGAGCAATAGAGTGTGAAGGTAAAATCATTTGTATAGATTTGAAATATTTTGTTTTGCATTGTTCATTTAGTCAATGTAATTTTGGGAAAGGTTTCGTGAAAGAAAATCAAAAGGTTCGTATATACTTGCAGCATTCTAACTCTTTGATCATGCAATTTTCATTTTTTTTAAAAGAAGTTTCTTTATCTATAGTCTATTTGCTTCATTAATTGTGTATACCTTGCGTTTATGCGATTCGATTAACAGTTTTAATTATTAATTTCAAAAGTTTTTGATTATACTTTGAGCACTTAGGCAGCCACTATGATATCTATTGAACCTTTTATTTACAGGCTTTTGAACTATCTGACTAATTGCCACTTCGGAAATGGCTTATTTCTTCAACTTGAAAAGCAAATAAATGAATTTTTGATAATACAATTTGTTAAAAAAAATTATAGAAAAATTAAGGAATGTGAATATTAATTTTGTTTTGTTTTATGTCAATGATGAGAAGAGGAAGGATGAGTGATGGTGAATGTTATAGGTGGGAGGAGTATTTGCAGCTATTAGTTAGAGTTCTTGATTTTTTTTGTTGGGTTCCGGAGATTGCTATGACCTTCAATATTGATTATTTACTTCTCACAATAATACCTAATTTTTTTGGTAAAGTGGATTTGTGTACATGTTTTCAAAATGGATCATATTTTAAAGTCTTACCATGTTTGGCACTTAAAGTTAAGGTGGGATCATTTAAATCAGTGGTGAAGATTAATTTGGCTTTCTCATAAAGAATTCACCGTACTCAAAAGGGCAAGATACAACTCAAATTGTTGTGCTTGACCAATGAGTTGAATTTTGGTTTCTTTTGATTGTGTGATAGGTTTGTATTTGAACCTTATTGTAATATCTATATTATTTGGATCAATGAAATGCTTTATCTTCTCAATTTTTTTTGTATTGTACAACGCCTTTGAGTGCACAGGTTGTTGTGCAATTTTTTTGTTTATATAGTGCCTTTAGGTACGTGCAATTACTAGTAAGTCAATATAAATAGTAAGATTCTAACAGTAGCAAGGCCACCTTTCTATACTTTAATGGAAATGGTTCCGAGGTGATTCTCTTTCCATTCCTACGTATATGGGTTGGCACATAATTTCCACAATATCCATTACAATTCATTAATGAGACTTGGCTAAAAAGTGTTCTTTTCTCCATCATTACTTCAGGTAGTCCTCAGTTTTGGCATTTTAGTAACTTTTCAGTGGAACCCTTAATTATGTGCAAGGAATTTTCCTACTGGGAATTGTAAACGGACTAGTCCCCGAAAATGGCCCGTCTATAGGTTAATTTGTTGTTGGACTAAAAATCTTTCTTGCGTGTTCCTCAATCAGTGCATCCTTCTCAATTTTCTCCCGACTACTTGTCGAAATCAATTATTAATTTACATGACCAGTAAATGAATTTTTTTACTAATTTCATTTATTCCAATAGAGTACTTTCTTATTTTCTAATCGTTAGGATAAGTTATAATTGCATTGAATAAAAATTGTAAAAAAAAAAATCTATTTTCAAAATCAGTTCTTCATTATTCTTATTTTGAAAAGAAAGAAGATCTTTTTCAATTGAAACTCGATCTTGATTTTCTAGCAAATTTAGTAATTTAACTTTAGAAATGGGAAATGTGCTATAGTATTTTGCATGCTCTTCTTGTATTCAGTAGCTAAAACGCGAAATGCCATGAGAATTGTGGAAATAATTATCCCTATTCAAAGCCATCTGAATGAAAGGATAATTCAGAATCATACCATTTGGAGGATTAGTTACACAACTAGTCCATTTAGGTAATGCACTTTAGTTGCAAGGAAAAAAAATAGAAGTATCTCTTAACACATTAAGAAGCGATAATGCTTAAGATCCTAAGTCAAAATGGTTAGGATTAAGCTACTTCTTGTGCAACACTTTTGTCAAACCACCATTTTCTAAATGACATTCCCATAAGAACCAATAGTCTATGAGTTTCTTTATCTTTTTGGAATACTCATTTCTCTAGGCTTACCAAATACACTATTATGAAACCATTATTCAAGCAAAAAGCAGTTGATGCAGATGATTTATTTAGCCTTTATAGGGATATCAAGATCTTGGCCATAAAATGCACAATTTTTATGATGCCAATTTCTAACAAAATGGAATCACAGGGTTTCGGAGTTGGAATAAAAACAGTAACAGGCAGAATTGCTGTGAAATGCAACAAATGTGAAGTCATCAGAACTTCTTTAAATTATAAACCTAATTCGAAGTCTTCACGGCTTCTATGAATTTTTTTTTCAATAAGTTACATATTAAAGAATAAAGTTGAATTTAAAAAAACTTCAAGAATAATATGTAACATCATACTCTTACTGATCTTTGACTTCAAAATGGAATATTTGTTTGGATGCTTGGAGACTTATGTTGATAGTGTTAGAAATATTAACAAAATTTTAAGAGAATAATGCACAAAATTATATATAAAACAAAGACATTCAGAAATTTAATATATTAATGTGTTGATATTTAAAATCAACACCATTTCTTAGTCTTCTCTTTTTAGCCGCATTTCTTTCATCGCTTTGCATGTTTTTTTTTTATAAGAATAATGATATTGAGACCTAATTAATTGATTTAATTTATTATGTCCTTTGAATTAACTGTGGGCTCTATTAAATATTAAAATTTGATATTAATTTAATAGTTTCACTAAAATCACATCTTTAAATCAATAAATTATATCAAATCTTTAAATCAAAAATGCATTTTTGTTTTTTTTAATAAACAGAGATACATCGTTGAATCTTTATGAGACACATGGGCAGTTGGGGGTTAGATTGAAGGCAGGAGGATGTTGGGTCATTCATCCTATTTACAATAATGTCATCATTATAATATTTATTTGCGGGTTTAATGATAATATTAAAAACTATAATCTCATATTGTTTTTATACAATAAGAATGTGAAATATATACAAAATTAAATTTTATAATATTATTAGTGATTTCTCATAAATAAATTTATTGTACATTAACTTATGATATTATATAAAGTAATGTTACAAAATATAAATGAAATTCAAAAAAATATAATCTAAATATATATTATTTCTTGAATGATTGGATTCTATCAATTTTTTTAGTAGCGTTTATTCATCTCATACTCATTTAAGTGATGATATACATTTAAATTTAAATTTTTAAATTTTATTTGGATATGTACTTAATAAATGTGTTTGCGTTGGAATATGTATTTGTTTACAGCTCGGTGCGGAAGAGTGTGTTTTGGATTTTGTGAGATTCGGGAGTTCAAAAATCTAATTATTTTATTAGATTGATTCTCTACTCATATTCCACGCAATAAAGAAACTTTGATCAACGCAACGGACAACGGATCGCTGTGCCGCAGCCGATCATCAACTCGGCATTAAATATAAAAATCAAATGTAAACTTTGGGGGAATTAAATATAATTTACCCAAGAAACTTTGATCAAACGCAACCGATAACAAAGGGCTGCGCCGCAGTCGATCATCAAATCGGCGTATTGTACACACATTCACACGCGCATATATATACACATGGGTGCGAGAGAGAGAGAAAGAGAGAGAGAGAGAGAGAGAGAGAGGGGGGGGGGGAGTGGAATAGGAATGATGGCGATATCTTTGTTACAGAGCTTTCTTCAACAAGAGTATACCTCTAATTCAATCTTCCTCACAGCCATATCTGTGATAACTTTTCTGTTCTTAGCATACTTAGCTATATCAGAAATCATAGGGAAACACCTCCAGTACTCCAAATTCTGGAACGTGAATTCTTCAGCTAAGCAACAGATCAAACTCTCAAGCACAACAGGCATGCTCATACTCTACACTCCGGCGTTCCTCGCCTCACTCGCTTCCTTTTGGGTCTTCCCAGATGGTGGAATTAGGTTCATGATGGCCAAATCAGCTATAACTATCCATTTCTTCAAACGGGTTCTTGAGGTAAACACATCTCTATATTTCTTTTCTTAATTTGGCTAGTACTTTACAATTCATGGTTTTTTAATTGGCAATTCAATCTGCTCAACTTGATACGAATCTATGAATACATGCACACCCTCACATACATACATACATAAGTGTGTGCTATATTTACTTTCGGTTGTGTTCTTAATGTAGTTACTTTTACAGAAATGGTTTATTTGGAAATGGAAACAGATATTGTGGGAATTGGCTAAAATCATGAAAAGTAGTTGAACTAATTTTTATGCGTATAATTATTATGGTCTAGTAATTCAAGGGTCTTGCTCATTGGATTAATGTGCTAAAAGTTAATCAAACCCCAGTCCTGTGGAAAGCCCCAGTTTTCTATATGCTATTATAAAAATAATGGTCGTGGAAATGTAAATCCAAAGAACTTTTTTACCCATAGGTTCCAGCTACTTGGCGTTATGTTACCCGATTACAAAGCCAACTTTACTTTTCTCTCAATTGATGCAGTGAAACTCACCATTTTTTTCAGTTTCCCACTGAACCCAGTTTCTTATTACTTGTTTATACTCTCCCTTGTATTGACGTTTTTTCCAGTATCCACACCTGAAAAAGATTCATAACTTTGTAGCATGGGTCTCAGCAATTTTACCAACTTTCCCAGGATTCTGTTCTTTTCATTGTTTTCAGTTTCCCACTGAACCCAGCTTCTTATTACTTGTTTATACTCTCCCTTGTATTGACGTTTTTTCCAGTATCCACACCTGAAAAAGATTCATAACTTTGTAGCATGGGTCTCAGCAATTTTACCAACTTTCCCAGGATTCTGTTCTTTTCAATTACGAAGTTATCATTCTGAGCCTTCAACAACGGCTAACATGTTAATCCAATTGCAACAACTATGATTCTATCGCATTGACTCTCCCTTTGGTTCCCATGTATTGCTAGCCATGAATCTGCTGATTTACAAGCACTTATAGGATTTGTTGTAGCATGATAGGAAACTGAACACTATCTTGATTGGAAAAGAGGTATCTGAAAAGTTTTGTGGTGTACGGGCTCTTATTCCAAGAGACAGGGTGTTGATTAATAGCTGCACTTTTCTAGTTGAAATCATTACTAATGGTAAAATGTTGTTGCTAGCACACTTCAAGAAAAGGCTTTATTTTCTGCTCATTCTTGGGGTTTCATTTTCTGTTCCATGTTTTCTTCATTTCCCTTAAATTACCCTGTTCAGCTTCGCTATTTTTGCTTTTTTCATATCGAAAGGAATCTTTTGTCATTCATTACAGGATCTGATAGAACTCTCATCTGGCACATAACGTTGTGCCAACTCTGATGAGGAAGGTGTTGTTTGAAGGAATCCCCAGAAACTTTCAAATCCAAAACAGCTCCTTTTTGTTCTAGACTTACAAAAACCTCCTCTATTAACCTTTCTTTTCAATTGCTCAAACCTTCATAAAGATATGCAACCATTTTAATCAATAGATACATCTCCTTCTCTATATTTGCCACCTTTCCCTTTCAGTCCTCCAGAGCTTGCCTTTTTAGTGATTTTCCTTCCCTCCTAATTGTGGTTTATGATGTCCCTTTCCAATAATTTTATTTCAATGCCACGAAGAGTTTCAGCCCTCTAGTGTATGAGTACAACAACTTGAGAAGTGTCTAATGTATAAAATTCTCTTGAACAAAAGAGGAGAGTCCACTTGAACCCTCCAACACTGCCTAGCAAATAAGTTTTTAAGAATTTGATCACTGAAGCACAAAATCCAATGTGCTTACATTCACTTAAGTGGTCCTAAATTTTCTAATTCGTCTGTTCTCACTCCTTTTGATTTTCCCACTGGGATCTTTCCGTAGTGGTGCTCAGCTACTGGCCTCGGGTATCTCAAACATCAACAAAAGGGACTTCTTTAGAGGAGCCATATAAGCTACAGCCTTGATCAAGACACTCAACCTGCTGGGTGAAAGATATCGTATCTTTATCATTCCTCTCCTTAATACTGGGCTTGACCCAATCTTTTTAACTGATGGAAGCCTCTTGTTTTTTTCCTCTTCCATTGGTTGAAGGGGTTATGAGATATTTATCATTTTTTTTCTTCAGAAGTGTCCAGATCTAGACAACGTACCTCTTACTATCTCAATTATGTACTATTTTTGTTGTTTCTCTGTTGTTGCTTTTCAGTACAAATAATGTTGTAGTTAGTTGTGGTTACAGATTCTCTAGTTTCTTCTCTTCTGGTAGCAAACCCTCAAAATTAAGACCAACCCAAAATTATATATCTTCACCACCGAGCCATAGCCCAGGGGATTATTTCCATCTACTCTTGCACATTTTTTTGTTGACAAAGATGGATTGCCTTTTATAGCTACATTAATGCATCATGGTTGCCCATCTTGTGCTGGACAAGATGAAAACTACTAGTTTGTGTTTTGATTTCTAAAATAAACAAAATGTTTACAATGTGACACAATATAGAAGATTAGCACTAAAGCTCTCTAGCATGCCATTGACATTTATCAGAAGGTCAGCTTGTTCATTTGTAGTGACTGGCTTTTATTGTATGACACTAGCTTTTCCTCATTGCGTCCGGCTAAAATGGTGCAAGGACTCTCCATCCAATTTCACCTTTTTGCAATCCAGTTAATAATGGTGGTTGTAAACAAATAGAAGTTTGAATATTGAATATTGTTGTTTGGGCGTGGAGTTTAGCTCATTCTCTGCATAATTTATTGGACATGACCATGATAATTTTCTTTCTATTTTGAGAGGGAGAGAGAGAGAGAGAGAGAGAGTACCACTACCTGTTGCTCCAAATATGTCACCATTGGGATCATCACTATGAAATAAAAACAGCCCAATAATTTTATGTCTTCAATTTGGTATGATATCATGGAAAGATTGGTTTGTCCATTTTGGAAGTTGGCTGATAATGTAGGTTTGTTAACTTCATGGCAACAACAAAGAATTTCTTCTCTGATTCTCTCAACTTACAAGGGGGAACTGAATGTCTCCAATGATTGCTATATTTGACAGACAACCCTGCAAAATTCTTAAAATGTTTTAGTGCTGCTGACTATTGTAGTGTTCCCATAAAACAATGATTAGCGTAATTTATTGACAGATTTAGATGGAATTGTACTTAATCATGTTTTGCAGGTTCTGTTTGTCCATAAATACAGTGGTGGCATGGTTCTGGACTCTGCTATTCTTATCTCTTCCAGCTATTTGTTTGCTGCTGCAGCCATGATCTATATCCAACACTTAGCTCAAGGGCTTGCAGAGCCAGTGATTGATCTGAAGTATCTGGGGGTCGCACTTTTTATAGCAGGAATAGGTGGTAACTTTTATCACCATTACCTTCTTTCCAAACTTAGGGGGAAGGATGAAAAAGGATATAAAATTCCCCGTGGTGGGCTCTTCAACTTGGTTATATGCCCACACTATCTTTTCGAAATTCTTACCTTCATAGGCATTTCTTTTATCTGCCAGACGACGTTTTCCTTTTCCTGCTCGATAGGCATAGCTTTGTACTTGATTGGAAGGAGTTATGTCACCAGAAAATGGTACCTTTCCAAATTTGATGATTTCCCTAAGGATGTCAGGGCTCTGATTCCTTATGTTTTCTAAATATACATAACGGAGTTCAAAATGGCTGGAGGTTACATTATTCTTTATCTTAGAGTCTTGATAGTTAGAGGACATTCAGACAATTATGGCTTTCGATTTACCTTGTTACACTTTATTGTGGAATGTATATTTCATCATCCAAAATAGTGGAGTAATTCTTTTCATGAAAAAGAAAAATGAGCTTATCTACTTGATTGCTGCTGATATTTGATGAATTATTGGTATTCCTGACATTGTTGAATTCGACATGTACTTGAGTCTGTCCCAATTACCTACTAATGTTGTGTATTCATGTCACCATTTATTATGTAATGATGGTACATTCAACATTTCTCAAGTAAGATGTTATGATATGAAGCATGAAAACTAATTGAAAAAGGAATGTTGCAATTACTTTAGAAAAAATAATGGTTTATGATTGCTTGAGTATGTTTATATTTTGGGAATGCCGGTGTAAATTGTATTGTGAAAGTAGGAGTGTTAATCAACCACCTTGAAATTATTGTTCTAATATGTGTTGCACTGCATGAAGGCCACTAACTTAACAAAGGTGAAAAAAAAAAATAACAAATCACAGAAATTACCCTTGAAATAAACTTAAACTCCGTCAATTGTAGTTTTTTAAATTTAAGAGAGCCCCACCTCATAGTTTGCTGTCTTTCATTTAGATCAACTCTGTGTGTGCACAAACGCATGCGTTTGCATATGTAATACTATATGGATTGTAATTTGCACTCCCAATTTGACCACCAGTACTCCACGTGTTATTTTTCAGCTACATGTGAGATATGGAATGTGAATGAGTTGTAGTTATTTTTGTTGTTGGTTATGTGGAGCTGGAGGTAGGTTTGGGTAGTGGGAGGTGGTCGGTGTGAGGTGGATGGTAATCTGTTTCAGGGTGGGTTTGAGTTGATCCAGAGGGGGACTTTGTAGCGTTCAGATGGTTGAGAGTCATTGCGGATGATTGGTTAGAGTCAAGAGAAAAGTGGGGAGGGAGTTCGCGGGTGGGTGTCGTTTGATAAGAGTTTCGCTCCATATGTAGGGTGGTTTGGGTTGATAGAAATGGTGTGTGAAGGGGAGGTGGTGGTTTGGGTTGAGAGAGAAAAGAATGCGCAGTGAGGGGGGTGGTCGGGGTGGGTAGTTGCTAGGTTTTGGTGGTTGAAGTACTATTTCAAGTTGGTGTAAAGAAAAAAGAAAGAAAATTGGTGTTAAGGGTGGGAATTTTCGGGTTGAGAGAGCTTTTTATTCCTTTTTTGTTTCAAATTTGTTAATAACTTCCATTATTTCCTTTTTTGGAATTGAACATAGCAAAAAAACTCAAAAAAAAAAGGAGGTGTTTGTTATATGAGCTAAAATGATGTTAACATAAGCAGGAAATGGTTCGCGAACTAAAGGAGAGGTACTGATGGTAATTTGACCCTATACGTCAGAGAATTCTCTTGTTACTTCTGAAATCATGATAGGGGAAGGAATGAAGGATTATATTTCGTTTACCTCAATGGTATTCTTTGTATTGCCCATAAAAAAGTTCAGGATTAAACTAGCTTATCAAAACTATACCTTTGTGAATTGTGACTCAAAGCAGTCAGAAAAACTAATTGAAAACCAAGGGTAAGTTGATGAAAACTTATTGAAGACTAAGGGTGAAAATCAAGTTGTACCATTTCATGTTTCGATCATGTCATTTTGGAAGAATTATACATTGCAGCGGAAGCTGAATATTTACCTAGAACTATGTCGTTTCTAGTCTTAAAACTTTTTAATCCTAGATCACGATCCTCTAACTGATCAAGTACTCACAAAAATATTAAAATACTCTCACATTTACATTATGAAGGTATGAGAAAAGTATTTTCAACTTATTCTATATCTTCAAATTGTCTGTAGTTTTATATAGTAATCACAAGATTTTATATAGACAAGTCAACCATGGTATTTATACTTTGTGTAGTAATCAACAAATTCAGGGCAAATGTCCACACTATAAAAGGACAAATGATAAGAGTTGACAGCATACATGGTAGTGGGGCCTAACAGCGGCTAGTTGGACTGGTATGAATAATAGTGCTAGGCATGACACCCTCAAGTGCAACGCCTCGAGGAGCAACAACCCTAGGTGCAACGACACAACAAGGCGAAACACATCTCATTTGAAGGGGCAAAATGAACCTTTCACCAAGGGTGAACAAGAGTAGACCTCGGTGAGAATTGTCTCCCCCACTACGGAAGTGGTATCCTCAGCCTATTGGACACCGTTGCTCGACTAGCCCACTAGACTAAGAGGAGGGACCCCCTCTTAGGGATAGGGTAGTATGACCTTCCTCAAGAGCGAACTGAGCAATAGGGGAGGATGAACATGTTTGTTAACCTTGACCAGGGGTAGGTTTTCAAAAGTTTAGTCTACTCGAACAAGTCTTCCAGTGTATGGTTGGCTTACTGCTTATTGAGATGTGCTTGAATGGGATCTGGAGAGACTCATAAGGTAACTAGAGTTATTGGTCTAAATCAACATATGAGATAATGAGACATGTGGATTGGTGGTTGAAAAATCAAAACTATGTTGGTTTCCTTTATCGAGCATTTCAAGTAAGGTCTTGAGAAAGGGTCTAGAAATGGAAAGAAAGACCCTGGGTAGGAGCGTGTTGGGGGCATCACGGACGTGTCCCACTCAAGGTCATGGTCCCGCGGTGACCAGTCATGGTCATTGATCTTGGGAGCCTCCTTTCACCTCGGCTGTCACACCCTCCTTGGAGCTGCGTTCAGGCTACATTTGGGAAAATGTCACATCAACCTAGTTAATGTTGGGACACGTGGCTCGCGGTTAGATGCCACTGGTGTCATTGTGGTTTAGGCAGTTGTACACAAGAGTTTTTGGGGGTCGCGGCGGGCAGCCTGACCTACTCGGGCTGTAATACCGAAGGTAAAAAATGAAATAATAATAATAATAATAAAAGTAAATAAGTTAGATTTGAGACGTTTTAGACTTTTGTTTGGCTTGGGGGTCTGTCCTTATGGGCTTATGGATATGATTTGAAAATCAATGGAGATAATTTAGACTTTTTGCGGTCTAGGGAGAAATATTAGATAATTATAGATGCTTAGTCGAATAGAGTTTTAGAATTGTAAAATTGGTTGTACACTAATTCTTTATTACTAACGGGATTTTAGTGTTATTAAGAATAGTTGATTGCTACACCTTATATGTAACTGAACAACTCTTCATATTTTATTAATATTGTTTGGGCCGGAGGGAATAGAATAGGCGGCAACACACACACACACACACATAGAAGGAAGGAAGAAAGAAGAACAAAAAGAAGAAGAAGGAATTAGGGAGAAGAAAAACAAACAAAGTTGCAGAACCAAGAAAGCAGCAAACCAACTTTTGTAGGTCAAAGGAGATGGGATTTTAAAAATTATGAAAACCTTCCGTTTAGTTTCAAAGAGCTTTACTTCGATCCCTATATTCTTTTAAATTTTATTTTAACCACTGTTTTACTTGGTAAGTTGGATGAATAGAATTTTAGAAAATTTATGGCAGTCCTGAAAGTAAAAAAAAAAAAATGTATTTTTCAAAGAAATTACACATTGACCCCAAAAGTTTTAAAAATTATGATTTGACCCCAAAACTTTGAAAACCTTTTTCTAAATAGCACATAATACTTCTATACCCTATTACCCTATATTAAAAAGGATATTTATATGTATAGGATATATCAAGTATATATCAATAGGTAGGAAGTACATAAATTAAATATAGAATTGCGAATTGACGAAGTTATGAATAAGGATTAATTGTTATGTTATTTTGGATTAGATAGTGATTGCATTAAGGTTGAGAAAGATTTTTGGAATCAAGGTAAGTACTTTACTACTTCTTTTGGGAGGATTTTCTATATTAAATGTGTGGGTGCGGGCGTATAGATTTTTCATATATATGATATATATGTTAATATTTGGAGTTGCAATTAAATTATTTGCAATTGCAAACTGTTATATAGGTGAATTTTGAAAAACTTGTGGGATGATTTTATATTATTGTTTTGGTGATGAAAGGAAAATTTTGTGTGCGTTGGGACTAAAATTACAGTTTTGGTGTGCGTGTGAAAATCATGTTTGAAAAACGAGAAATAGGTTACCAGGTCTAAATGGTAACGAGATTGTATACCGGTGTGATCGGTATAGGGATGTGCACATTGGGGCCAATCATCAGGCTAGTGATGACAAGAGGCGGGGTCAGTTACTAGGCTAGTAGTAACGAGAGACAGAACCAGTCATCAAGCTAGTGATGACTACAGACCGGGCTAGTTACTCAGCTAATAGTAATACATATGATTTGACAAATGCATTTGGGACTGAATTTATGTGTGAGTGTTTTGGGTTATAAATGTCTTTTGATTTAAAAAGTTATTTGTGAAAACGAATGTGTATTTTGGATTATAAATGTTTTTTTCATTTATAAAGTTATTTATGATCATGAGATCATTTTGTTTACATGATTATGTGGGAGGGATTGAGTACAATTTGTTTTACTTATGTATATATCAGAGTTTACTTTTGTATATAAATTGTGAGATTTATTTTCACTCCTCATTAGAGATGGTTGCTATTTACGGGCCATTGTGCTCATCCAAATATTTAATATTTTTCATGTGAAGATAGGGTGTGGACTAAGTCCACAGATAAACAAGGGATTAGAGGACTTGAAGATTTATTTTACTGTAGGCTTTCAAGAATAAATGTCTTTAGTCGTTTTGAGATAAGTATTTAATTATTTTGAGAATAATGTTCCTTATGTTTGGAGTAGTGAATCTTACGATTTGATTATTATTTTATATGAGTTTAGTAATGATCTTGGTGATGTTTATTTTATTCCTCTAGTATTCATTAGGTTGATGGATTGGATCACTTTATTATTTTTCTTCCTCTGTATTTTGCATTTATTATGCACAACGTTGGTTGGTTAAGGCCTTGGTGGCCGGTCCGCCGCCCACCCTATG